AAAAAAAAAAAAAAAAAAAAAAAATTTATATATATACAAATTTGTTTTTGAGTTGGAATCTTACTCTGTCACCCAGGCTGGACTCCAGTGGCACACTCATGACCACTGCAGCCTCGACCTGTTGGGCTTAGGTGATCCTTCCACCTCAGCCTTCCAAGTAGCTGGAACCATAGGCACACGGCACTACACCTGGCTAATTTTTTAATTTATTATATAGATGAGGTCTCATCAGCATGCTCATGGCCACCGCAGCCTCACTGGGCTCAGGTGTTCCATCTGCCTCAGCCTTCTAAGTAGTTGGAACTATAAGCGTGTGCCACACACTGGGCTAGTTTTTTGATTTATTGTAGAGAAGAGGTCTCGTCAAGTTGCCCAGACTGGTCTAGAACCCCTGGGTTTAAACAATCCTCTTGCCTCTGCCTCCCAAAATATTGGGAATACAGGTGTGAACCACTGTGCCTGGGGAAAAATTTATACACATTTTAATAAGTAAGACATTTGCTCAAAAGATGGCATTAATCAAATGAATGCTGGTGTCATCATGCAACAGGGAGGATAGTCAAAGAAAATGGCAGAAACATGGTTGAGCAAACGTCAAACTACACACTGCTACCATAATTTAATTCAACTTCAAAATACATAGATAACATCTCTTAAAATGTGTACACGGGGTTTTTTTGGCACGTGTGTTTGTGAAGTGTACAGAAATAGAAAATTGTCAAATCTTTGGCATAGTTTCAGGTACAGAACAATTTGGCAGTTAAAGCATAATTACAGTATTTAGTATTAGGAATGTAGCCCTTGAAATAGAAAATGACTGAATCAAACTATATGGGGGCAATTACAGAAATCTCTATGGATAGTCTGTAATATAATAAGAAATATATATAGCTGTCCCTTGGTATCCATGGGGGATTGGTTCCAGAACACCACAAATCCCTGCAGATATCAAAATCCATGAATGCTCAACTACTTAAATAAAATGGTGTTTTGCATATAAACTACATATATCCTCCCCTATAAAAAAGTTACTTATAATAATCAATACAATGTAAATGTAAATACTATGTAAACTGCTGTCATACTATACTGTTTAGAGATTAATGACAAGGAAAAAAATCTGTACATGTTCAGTACAGATGCAACCATCCATTGCTTACCCTAATATTTTCTATCCACGGTTGGTTGAATGCATGGATACAAGACAGGCTATTTGGTCTTAGTCCCTGGTTCCTGGAACAAATCATCTAAAACCTGGAGTCCCTGAGTCATAGGTCTTTTGTTATTCATAATAAGCCCCTTTCAAGCAGACCAAAGTTTATGCTAAAACGGTTACTCAAGGTGGGCCCCTGGGTAGCTTCAGGATGGGGGCTGGTTTGGGGGTAGGGGTGGGGATGGGGAATCATCCATGAGATTAGAGGATTAGCACTTTTAGCCCCACTCTATATCCAAGTAGGAGAAAGGAGTTGCAGATCAAGTCAATCACCAATGATTGAAACAACCATGCCTATGTAACCCAATCTCTGAAAATCCTAAATGACAGAATTCGTAGAGGGTCAGGGTGACACAAGGGCAATGCACCCTGCTGCCATAGGACAGGACAGAAGCACCTACGATCTGGAACCCTTCTGGACCTTACCCTATGTACCTCTACACCTGGCTGTTCTTCCATACGCTTCATGATATCCTTTACAAGTAAACTGGTAAGTATAAGTAAAGTGCTTTCCTGAGTTCTATGAGCTCCTAGCAAATTATCAAACTGAGGAGGGGGTGGTGGGGATCTCCAATTTAAAGTCAGTTGATAAGAAGAGCATGAGGCATGAACTTTTTTTTTTGAGTTGGAGGCTCACTCTGTCGCCCAGGCTGGAGTGCAGGCCACCCTAGCGTTGAGCTGCTGGGCTCTGGCAATCCTTTTACCTCAGCTCTCCAAGTGGACGGAACTACAGGCATGCATGCTACCATGCCTGGCTAATTTTTTGATTTATTATACAGACGAGGTCTCGCCATATTGTCCAGGCTGGTCTTGAACCTGCGGGCTCAGGTAACCCTCTCATCTCAGCCCCCCCAAAGTGCTGGGATTACAGGCTTGAGCCACCACACCCGGCAAGGCATGAACTTTCTAATGGCATCTGAAGTGAGAACAGTTTTATGGGACTAAGCCCTTAACCTGTGGCGTCTAGATTGTTGGATACCCAATTGGTATCCAGAGTCAGAGAACCGTTCGTAAACGTGTGGGAAAAACCCACACATGTAGTGTCTGAAGTGTTGTGAGTGGAAGAATTCTTAGAAGTAGGTGCATTCCCCTACTTTATCTTTGATCAACATACAATAAGAATTTACTGGCTGATGTCATTATCCACATTCTTTGTAAGGTAACAGTAGAAACATCAGTTCTCAGAACCACAGTTCAAATACATTTTAACAGATGCCTTAAACTCTAAAATATAATCTCATTTTAGTCTTTTCACTAGCTTGTCCTTGTACTTAGAAGGAATGCTTTCTTCGTCCAAGATTTTCCCTTAGTAGCTCACTCATGTATCCTAAAGAAATTCTAACTTTGTCCACCCTTCTCTCATGTCCTCCTTTGTTTCACCACAGCACTTGCATAGCCTCTAAGTTTCTTCAAAGAAGAATAGTTACCTACCTTATTCACCACAATATCCCCAGTACCGTGTACTGTACCTGACATATAGTAGTTATTCAACAAATATTTGCTGAAGAACTCAACAATGGTGAGGACTAATTAAAAAGAGGGGCTCAAATTAGGCAACTCTTAACATTTCACAGTTTCATGACTAAAAAAGTCACTCAAATTAACATGGAAGGGCAGACATTCTTCTCGATGAGTCACGTTGGTTTACTTCTTCAACAGAGCTTGAACTCCCACCCTGGCCAGCAGCTCAGGGCCAGCCCTCTGTCACCTCCTCACAGTGGCCTCTGGCAGCTCCAATGTTCTTGCCACAGCTTCGGTGTGACCGCCTCTCGGTCGCCTACCATGACAACTGTGTTCCAGGAGCAGCAGTACTACCACCAGGACCATCAACTGCCAGATCAACCTAGAGCTCTCTGTCTCTACGTCTACTTGCCCATGTCTTACGACTTCATCCATAATGATGTAGCACTGAAGAACCTTGCCATGGACTTTCTTCAGCAATCTCATGAGGAGAGAGAATATACAGAGAAACTGATGAAGCTGCACAACCAACAGAGGGGCCTAATCTTCCTTCAGGATATCAAGAAACCAGACCATGACAGGTGGGCAGGTGGGTTAAACGTAATGAAGTATGCATTACACTGGAAAAAAAGTGTGAAGTAGTCACAACTGAAATTGCATAAACTGGGCACTGACAAGTCACTTGTGTGACTTCACTGAGATGCATTACCTGAATGAGCAGGCGAAATCTATCCAGGAACTGGGTGATCATATAACCTCGCCTAACATGGGGGGAGGGAGGGTTCTAAATCTAGCATGGCAGAGTATCTCTTTGATAAGTACATCCTGGGAGACAGTGATGCCAAGAACTAGCCTTAGGCTGACTTCTCCACAGCCATGGGTGACTGCCCTGGTCGCCAAGGCAATGCATGCATGTTAGGGTTATCTTAACTTTTCTATAAGTCATACCAGAAGATCCATATCCATTTCAGTTCTTTCATTTATAGTATTCCTTCAAATAAAGAACTTTGGTACCAAAAACAAATAGAAATAAAGAAATAAAACTATGAGAAACTAAGAGAAGAAAGATTTAACCGCTGGTCTATTTTCTACGTTAAAAAAATTTTTATGTTTCTGCATGGTCAGGGATTTTTGAGCAATGAAATCTGTCCTTGTCAAGGAACAAAAGTGGAAACTTAAAGATAAGTGAATTGATAGTAAAAGATTTACCTCTCTGGTGATATGTGTTTACATTTCAGAGGGGATGAAATCGAAGACTATGGAAACATTCCAGGTTAATCTGATCTCCCCCCTCACCCCAAGCATTCATTTACATTCCAAAGATTAAAAACCTAGGTTCCACCAGGGCTCGGTGGCTCATGCCTGTAACCCCAACACTTGGGGGGACTGAGAGGGGCAGAAGCTTGAGCCTAGGAGTTCAAGACCAGCTTAGGCAACACAGTGAGACCTTGTCTCTGCCAAAATAATAATAATAATAATAATTAGCAGGCCGTGAGTCATGAGCATCATGATCATGCAACTTCACTCCAGCCTGGGCAAAAGAATGAGACCTCAACTCAAAAAAAAAACCCCACAAAAACCCCAGGTTCCTCCTCCTCCTTCTGCTCCCAAGGATTATTTGTTTCTATTAGAAATCAAAGGTCCATCCGCTTCTCTCAAGAAAGGAGGCTGGACAACATGTATAAGGTATACAAGTTCCCAGATTCGTATTTTCTGGTTCCTCACATAACAAACAATATCCAGCTCTCATCACATTGTCCTGGAGGAAGAACTAGAATAAAGGGGAACTGGTAGAGTTGTTTCTGTAATAATCTGTCCCTGCTCAAGAAAAGGATTATTTGTTTCTATTAGGAATCAAAGGTCCATCCCCTTCTCTCAAGAGAAAGGGTAGGACAACATTATAATATATACAAGTTCCCAGATTCATATTTTCTGGTTCCTCACATACCCAACAAATATCCAGTTCTCATCACGTTGTCCTGGGGGAAGAACTAGGGTAAAGGGAAACTGGTGGAGTTGCTGCTGTAACAATCTGTCTCTGCTCCAGAAACTGTCTGTTAGAAAGTAAAATTTAAAATCCCCAACTAGAAATGAAAATTTTCACACTATGTTTTTCCATTAGAAACATATACTCATGTGTCTGAACTATTGGATAATTTGTATTTCTATACTAGTTCAACTATATTACAGGCTAATCTCTTCAACAGTCTAGGGACCTAACCACTCATCACAACATTTCTACACAAATACTGATTTTATATTACCTAGCAAACAAAGCAATGTAGAGGCTCCCTAAAATACCATTTGTATCCCACCCCTAGGCTACAATCCTTAAATTAGTTGAGGACAGTATGAAAAACCTGCATTCTACAGAGGTTGGATGCAGCAAAAAACAAGGTTCATGTGAAAAAACTGAAGACAATACTATTCAACTCTTTGGGACCCCAAGACTCTCAAATCCCAACTAGGACATATATTTGTTCCCATGACCATTTAAGGAAAAACAGCCACTAAACCATAAATTCCTCAAGAGTAAAGGCAGAGAACTATTTAGGGATTTCCTTATGTCATGTCTCATAATACAACAAATGAGACAGTCGGAAAGCAAGATAAGTGATCTTTAGAATTGGATCAGCTTGGGTTTGCATCCTAGCTCTAACAGTCACTAGCTGTGGATTCAAAGGCAAATTTCTCAGCCTCCCAAGGCTTTTTAAAAAATCTGAAAAGTGATACAAAGTTTCAGGTTCATTGGCAAAACTTATAAGATATTCATATAAAGTGCCTGGCACATTCCATAAGTGACAGTAATAAAACTGAGAGGATGTCATCTTTTCTTTTTTTTTTGAGATGGAGTCTCACTCTGTCGCCCAGACTGGAGTGCAGTGGCCGCTCCCGGCCACCGCAGCCTCGATCTGATGGGCTCCGGCGATCCTTCCGCCTCAGCCTTCCAAATAGCTGGAACTACAGGCGCGCACTACCACGCCCGGCTAATTTTTTTGATTTATTGTAGAGATGAGGTCTCGCCAAGTTGCCCAGGCGGGTCTCGAACCCGTGGGCTCAGGCAATTCACTCACCTCGGCCTCCCAAAGCGCGGGATTACAGGCTGAGCCACGGAGCCCTGCCTCGTCTTCTTTATTTACTTCAATTTGAAGAAGCATTATTTCCTAACTCCCTAACATGTAAAAGACTAAAATTTATTTAGCTACTTCCTCATTTATCAAGAACTTTGCATTAATCCTCTTTCAAAAGTTATTTTAGAGAAGAAAATACTGAACGAAGGTGCTAAAACCTTTGGTTTTGGTGCCTAATGTGACAGAAAGTCAATGGCTGGTTCAAGACTACTCATTCAAGGCTTATTTTGTAACAAAACAAAAACTGCCAGGAAGGGCAGATTTCTTTAATAGTCATTAACTGTTAATAACGTGTTTATGGCTAAATATGTAGTTCCTGGAAGCTTAAGGGAAAAAGAAACATTGGGTAGAGACACTTCTGGCTCAAATTTTATTAGAAATTTGTGGATTCTTTACGTATCTTGTATTATCCTCTGCCTCCTACCCCCAGCTCCAAACACATACACAATCTTTGAAGGAATTGAGATAATATAGGTTAGGTTCACTGCTGTCTGACAATTAGGGATATAGGGCTAAAGGATCCAGAATCTATATGGTCTTTATTCTTTGGTCAGATGCTAAATAAATCAAAGTCTCAAGTTGAGACTCTGGCACATGCTGGGTTCACAGGGAACTCATAACTCAATTCTTGGACAAGAGCTTCAAGTGTATATTTTCTATAGTAAGGGGGAAAAAAGGAATTCATATTAAATAGCAGATTTGCAGATAAAAAAGCTGACAATGTGTTTTAGAAGTCTGAACTGTACTTTTACCAGAGTAACTATAAAAAAGGCAGCCATGATTCCAGATTGGATGAAACATTTTTCTCAAAAAACAGAACTTTATTATTATTATTATTGTTTTTGAGTTGGAGTCTCACTCTGTCACCCACGCTGGAGTGCAGTAGCACATTCACAGCCACTGCAGCCTCCACCTGCTGGGTTCAGGCGATCTTTCCATCTCACCCTTCCAAGTAGCCAGAACTACAGGTGTGCGCTACCACACCCAGCTAATTTTTTATTTATTGTAGAAACAAGTTGCCCGGGCTGGTCTTGAACCTGCGGGCTCAGGCTATCTTCTCACCTCAGCCTTCCAAAGTGCTGGGATTGTAGGCTTGAGCCACCACGCCCAGCCAGGAACTTTAAATATAATATATTTTGAGCTAAACTCTCAAGAGTTATATGCCTAAAAAATGTTTACCAGTTGCTTTAATCATAAACATTGCCTGGTCTATTCAGAGTATCTGAAATAAAACTAGAGTCTAATGAATAAGCTACAAATTACACCTCCCAAAAGGAGTTTAGGCAAGTGAGGTTTAGAAATGGCCATTTACATTTTGAACAATGACTGTTATAATAGTTTTCTATTGCCTCTGTAACACTACCTCAAGTATGACGGTTTAAAACAACAGTAATTTATTCTCTCACAGATCTAGATGCCAGAAGTCCAAGTTCAGTATCACTGGGTCAAAATCAAGGTGTTGGTGGGGTTGTGCTTCTTCCAGAGACCCTAAGGAGAGAATCTATTCCTTATCTCTTTCAGCATGGTAAATGCCAGCATTCCTTGGCTTGTAGCCAGATCAGGACTCCAATCTGCCTCTTTGGTCACACTGCCATCCTCTTCTGCGGCTGTCATCTCCCTCTGCCCAATCTCTTATAAGACCACTTGTAATGACATTTAGAGTCCAGCTACATAATCCAGGATAATCTATTAACTTAATTACATATGCAAAGATCTCTTTTCCAAAGATAAAGTAACATTTACAGGTTCCAGGGACTAAAATGTGGATATCTTTCAGGGGACATTTCTCAGCCTACCACATAGGCCAAAGGGAAGAGAAACCTACCAATGAATACAACCAACTTAAGTCTATCTCCTGTATATAATATGCTTCCTTAGTTTGTTTAAACTTGTTTTTGTGAAATACATATCAGAAAACACAATCATTTTTAAGTTACCTAGTTATCTCATGTTCCAGTAAAGCATTTTCTTCATTTGTTGAAATATGCTTCCCTAAGCACTATGAAATAACAACAAAAACTAAAAAAATTAGCCAGGAGGCATAGTGACATGAACTTGTAGTCCCAGCTACTTGGGAGGCTGAAGGAGGAAGGTTGCTGGAGCCCAAGAAGTTGAAGCTGTGGTGAGCCGTGATTGTGACACTTTACTCCAGCCTGGGTGACAGAGTGGAACTCTAGCTCAAAAAAAAAAAAAAAATTTTTTTTCTTTCATGGCTATTGTCCTTTCTGAATAGAATAAAATAAAGATCACATCAAACCAGCTCTCCCAGCCTTTAGCATTGCTCTTTTCCTCTTATATTACATTATACAATATGTGAATGAGCAATTTCTTAATTAAAGCAATACTTGCTTACAGGATAAAGGTGCTAGATTTTAGAAGTTTACTCAAGGCTAAGCAAACCAGGGAGCAATAATAAATCCTGAGTAAGCAATTCAACTGCCATCAAAACACTGCCTGCAGTAACTATCACCTCATAAAAACCACTTTCAGCAGTTTAATCTAAAACTGCAGCTGTAAGACAGACACTAATTTCTGTAAGCTTCTAAAGACACAAAGAAAGTGTTCTTTACTGAAAAACTTATCATTGTACTAAACATCTGGAATACTCATTTAAATTACTTTTGGTAACCTAATAGCTACTTTATTTAAAAAGGTATTTGAATCAATTCCTAATTGGAGTATATCTTTCCCACAC